AAAAAAAAAAAAAAAAAAAAAAAAAAAGGTCCTCATAGGGATGAGATATCCCTGGGCATAGAGATCACCCTACCAGACCGGGAAGATTTGCACTGTGACCCCCGCCCCATTCATACACTGAAGTCCTAACCCCCAGGACCTCACAATGTGACTGACTGTATTTGGGCAGAGGACCCATGAGGAAGTGACTACAGTAGAAGGAGGTCATCAGAGCAGCTCCTCCTCAATATGACTGGTGTCCCCCCACCAATAAGAGATGCAGCCACGGACACCTGCAGATGGAAGACATGGACAGGACACGGAGAAGACACAGGGGAGACCGCCTGCCTCCAGGACCATGAGTGGATGGGTTGCTATCATGGAAGCTGCCTAGCCCGGGTGCTTATTAGGCAGCCCCAGACGCGGATCCATGTGGATTCCCTGGAAGCAGGGTCCAGACCTTCAGCCACAGTGGTGTCCACCAAGGAGGACCGGCTGCCCATGGAGGTCAGTGACATCCTCAGAAAGTCTCCCTAAGTGACTCTACTCAAAGATATAACCCCAAGATCTCCAAACGCTGCTTGTGGGGCTGGCTCAAGCCTCCCCAAAAGACCCTGTGGAACCTGTCCAGCTTGGGCACTGGAGCATTTAAAGTGACCTCTGAAGCCATCTGCAGTTCCTTTGGTGCTGGGAAACAGAGAGGATATCTGTGGTCACAGGATGCGCAGCTCGGGGGGACAAGGGGCAGCACAGTAAGGCATCCAAACCCACCCCCACGGGCGGACAGGCTCTAACTGTCCCGGAGACCTCAAGGAAGCACAGACTCCAAACCCCGCCTTGCTTCCCCTGGGAAGGGCCCCGCGGGCACCGCGTGCTGTGGATCTGACAGAGGAGCACACAGGCAAATGCCTTTGGCTTTACTGGAGGTAGGTGAAAGCCCTTACATCAGGCCTACACATGTGCAGACCACTCGCAAAGCTAGAGAGGTGTGGTTACACATGCACGCACACACGTTGAGCAGAAGACATTAGAAATATTCAGAAAAAAAAAAAACTAAAATAGAAAAGACCTACTCTATTTTGGTGACGCGCTCAGTCTCCAGCCCCCTCAGGACTGGCATCTGAGATGGAAGAGTCCAAGTCCCATGCGTCTGCCGCCAGTGCCACGGGTGGGAGCGGAACGAGTTTATTAGGGTGTCAATCACACCCACCCGAGCCCCCTGCGGGCACTGTCTGAGACAAAACCTCCAGGCAGGGGTCCCAGGAAATGATTAACAAAGCTGACAAAATTCAATTTGTTCTGATTAACAGAATACAGAAAAATTCC